ACCCACAGTTATAGCCAGGCAGTATTTGATGGGTGTTGTTGTCAACACCACTACCAGCATTTACAAACAACTGTTTGCAGTACATACAGGGCAGTTTGTGAGACTGAGGATTTGGGGCCCCATGGCTGGTGCAATCACAACAAAAACTGCACATGTTATGATTTTAATTTTACCCCCGACATAAAACCCCCCATATCCATGACCTTGCTGAGGATTTAAGCCTGGGTCTACCACATGAAAGTGAAGCAATCCTAACCTTTTGGGGTCAACCACGGGCTGGCCACTTTTACTTTCCAGGATATCAGCTGGTTCCCACATAAGGATGGACTCATCTGAGAACCTCAATCAATTAGTCAAGTGCCTTCATAGAATATCATTCTCTCTTCATAGTACATCCTAAATTCTCTCTTTCTCTAGCCAATTCTCCAGCCCTGTGTGCTTTCATAGCCAATGTGTCTTCAATGTTCTCTATCTACATTTGCGAAGGTCAGCCTCTGCCTCATTTGCCAGAAAATGCACCCTCCAAACCACCATGTCTCCAGACATGTCCAAAATATATCCACCTTAGTAGAGATGCTGTTTATGAGTCAGCTCGCCTTGGTTTTTAGGTCATACAGGATGTTGATATTTTTCTTCTTTCTAGCTAAGGTCATTAAAAAAAAAATATTATTACAGACTGTAGGAACAAACTATGCAACAAATTAACATAAGATCAGATTGGTTATTCATCCAGTAAGAATGCAGCCAGAACAAATACCAACACAAGCGCGTCTCATAAAAAAAGATCTAATGTGAAATCAAGAGGTCACCCTAATAGAAAATGGACTGATGATATTAAAGAGCTTCTGCATCAACATGGAATGATACTAACCATTACTGCCCATCAAGCAATGGATCCCAAACTGTTCCTCCCCATAATGCTTAGTGGGAGAAGTGGGAATTAATGATGATCATGTCTTTAACTCTTTGAGTCCCAAGGAAAGCATCATACGTTCATGTGTTCCTACCTAGAAGCCCAATGAACGCATGATGCGCCGATTTTATGACTCTCTTTATCACCCCCTGGGCCTGTGATGCTAAACCCCCTGGGACTCAAAGAGTTAAATATGGCCAAATATGACCTGTCATCTTCTACTTCCTTGAGCAAATCTCTCTTCATTGTTAGTCTCTTCAGAACCCCAGTATGTGAATGTGTTTGTTTACCCAAAGTAAGAACTTCACAAAAGGATAACTTCCAACAGCTACATGCCAAGAAAAACTGCCAGAAGCACAGAAAAGACAAGTTTCACACATTAATTTCTGCATGTTTTTGGACTAAAAAAAAAAGATAACTACAGACAAAACAATACCAAGCCAAAGTAACAGACACAGGTCAACTGTATACACAATTCTCTTAAGTCCCTGGCCAGCAGGGAGTTCTCCAATGTTATCTGATTTCACCAATAATCAATCAATCAGGCAATCAGCTTGTCCTGTATGCAACGTCCCTGTCTTCACAGCACACCTGGAAGTCATTTTATCTACAGCAAAATCTCCAGCCCTGTGTGTTTTCAAGAACTGACATCACAGCACTTGGGGCATTCCCATGTGTGCTCCGTCCTCCTTTTCAGCAGCCAGCACAGAGTTCCAATACTGATTGTACCGGTCACAATCTAGTTAAATGTCTGTCTTGCTTTTTCTCTAAGTTTAGTGAGCCGGCCAGACCCTCTGGTTACACTCAGGTGCCTCATTCTCTCCAGGCCATAAAAAATCTTGTTTCTCTACTGATTCTGTTGCTTGTTCACAAAGGGCCTTGACAACATCTGCCTTGTCATGTATCAATTCACCACCTAGTGGTGCAGATCCAGCCAATCTGTCTGCCAGTTCATTACCCACTGCCCCCTCACTGCCTGGAGAAAAGATCCAAAGTACGCTCACTACCCGTGACCTTCCTAGTGAAGCTTGCCACTCTGCTCGAAGCATCTCTGTCTTCACCTTTCTTAGCATGCTTTCAGAGTCTGTTACAATAATGACATGTGCATGCATCTTGTTCTCTAGCCATCGAAGAGCTACAGTTACGTCTCCACCTCCATTCTCATAGCCAATGCACCTTTAATGTCTTGTATCAGCCTTTGCAGAGGTTGGCCTATGCCTCGTTTTCTGGGAACTGCACGCTTTATCACCATTCTCTCCAGACCATCATGACGCTTGACATATCCAAAATACCCCAGCTTTCAGGAGAGTATTCTGTTTATGAGCCAGTTCTCCTTGATGTTCAGGTCATGCAGAATGTTGATGTTCTTTCCCTTCTTGGGCCACAGTATTGTAAGAATTTTTCTGTAACATTTCATAAGCATTTCCCCAATAAAGATAACAATTATTTCACAATATTCCTCTTCTACAGTGTTTTACTTTACTTTAAAGGGTTGCAGGCAAACTGTGTTGTGGTTTACAGCTAGGCTGCAATATCCAAACCTTTTGGCTCCACTCCTACAATTTCAGCAAAAACTAAAAAAGTTACCTTTTACAACATGCCTGCTAGCTCTTTAATTACCAGTAGATTTCACATGAGATGGCAAACTAGAAATATAACCATGGTGAAACCTTTTGAATGTATTACTTTCAAAATGGCAATATAAACAGTCTCAATTAACATTGTCTAAGCCAGATTTTTTTTGTATAAAGTTTAAAATTACGATTGCGCTATGCATGAGAATCAAAGTAAAAGGTAAAGTCAGGAGATGTGAGCCAGCGTCAATGCACATGGTTAAAAACCATAATTGCTCTGCCACTAGTACGGACAGCTGATAAGAAATGTCCGCCTGTGTCGCTGTCCGCACTCAACTCCGTAGCTACAGCAATGTTCCTCCATTTACCCCAGAGTGTTAACTCTGGTACCCATTACCTAGATGCTGGGTGAACACTGGAAACTGTCTGGTTTTGAACACCAGCTGTGGGCTGCAGCTAATCGCAGCCAAATTTGAAAGTGAGTCTCATATCGACTGTGCTAACTCGGCCCGAGAATCAAGGAATAGCCCACTCATACAGCATAAGCTGCTTGGGACTGAAAGCCGGCCTAGTCTTTCTCACCCAAATGAGGCCTTGGAACTCTGATGCCTGAAGTGAAATGACAGCATGTGTGTTTGTGTGCCAGTCTCTATGAAACAGAGGCAGACCAACAGTCTGCACTGTCACAAGACGTACAGTTTTAGGATTTCACATACTCTAGACCAAAATATAATAAAGGCGCTAGTCAGTGATGCTTTTTCTCACCTTTCCTTTGCACAGATATCTAGACAAAACCACTGTTTTTAATTTTTCTCCAGCTTGGCTGACACTAGATATACACTGATCCAATGAGATAATACTGCTTCTGCCAGGGACTGAACCCAGATCACTGTCTTGTAGGCAGGTACACTACCACCACATCATGACTGTAGTATGGTGATACATGTCTATCAGTCCAGTAAGTGTATGAATGGATTAGGAAGTCTCACAACAACATGACTTCTGTGAAAGACTGCTCACGAATGGGTCAGGCGGACCGAGTAGTATCCTTAAAGTCGACTGCAGCCGCTGAAGGCTTTGAATGCTGACTGACAGGCATGAATCTCCATACAGGACATTTATTTGCTTGCTGACAATCTTCTGTAGGTTTAACCTCTTCACTGATCAAAAAACAGGCAACAGAAAGCTGCTCCTCTCTGGTGCATGTCAAATGTGGGGTAGCCATTTTAAAACTGTTATTATAATGTTATTATATCACATGCTTAACGATCTTGACATTCACAACAACCAGGTTAAAAGAAAATGGCATGATTACTGTAATTTCTATCATACTTTTATTGTTTTCATTTTTGCCCTTTCATACTATATCTATCCTTTCTATCCAAAGATTTCACTTACAGCTTCTCCTCTCACTTAACTTTCCTTGTTTGTACTTTGAGAAAACATGTTAGTGTCAACAAAACGGTCAATGCAGAATAAATGTGCATTTTGATACCACCTGAACATTCCACAGACTTCCATGCTGAAATTCTGTGCTCATTATAAACTCAGATAAAAATGTTTGTTAACAATGGTATAAAGAACATATTACAGGATTGGTCTGTAACAATCTTGTACACTTGCCATATCGTTTTGTCCCTAAAAAAAATTTGGATTTAATAAATAAAAAATCTGCTCAACATATATCTAGTCTGGTAAACAGCCTCTTGAACAAAGGAATCTAAACTTTGCCAACCCAACAGATGATAATAACAATACATGTTATAATAATAATAATTTAATATCAAGTTAAAATTTTAAATCAAAAGGATTTACTTTAATGTACCAGGTTCAATGATCCATAGAGATGTCCATAAGAAAAGCAAATGGCTTGATCACTTTGCCAGGGAGACCCTCACTAATAATAATAATAACAGCCAGTGTGAAACTGATGTGGTAGCTGTTGTGGTAGTTCTCAAACCAAAAACATGAGGTAGTTGTGTCCACAGAAAAATAAGCCAAACAACCACCAAGGAGAAGTTGCCTGTTTGGTCATGGAAACTTGCGTGAAGTCTTGTGGTAGAATGTATTTTCCACACATCTGAGTGGAATTACTAACAAATATTTGGCTCTTGTTTAACTATATGCTTGCAGTGCATGCTTATCATAAGCCTACAATGATTGATGCAAGAAAAATGAAAACAGTGAAACAAAGGAAAGTCACATCTGTTAATAAATAAATCCCCTAACACAACACAGCTGAATCGCTCTCTTGAATTTAGCAGTCTTGTACAATCTGGCCTTTTGGAATGTAGTTTCTGCTTCACCCAGTGTAGACGCTTAAAGAGGACAGCTGAATGAAGTCATTATCCATGGGTTTCAAGAATCAGCATTGAGTCCTGCCTCTCTCTTACTCTTATATTTGCACTCCATTTATGAGACTCATCAACAGTCAGAACTGCGTAGAAATGATAAACGTTTAAATACAACAATACATGAAATTGAATATCTTCACTTCAAGCCATGCCAGTCTTTCACGACAGTTGCTGTAAAAGTCTTTTGTACATTTGTGAATTCAGAAAACGTGGGTATGAGTCTCGATGCATTAATGTCCATATTTGTAGTTGTGCTTCGTCGAATGTGTGCGGGGTGGGTTCCACCATGTTTCTGTTGATAACTTCTCGCACTCGAGAATCTAAACTAACCTGTGGAGAAAAAAAAAATTATTAGGTGACGGCATATACTTGAGTTGTTGTTGTTGTTGTTGTTGTTGTTGTTGTTGTTGTTGTTCTTATTCTTCTTCTTCTTCTTCTTCTTCTTCTTCTTCTTCTTCTTCTTCTTCTTCTTCTTCTTCTTCTTCTTCTTCTTCTTCTTCTTCTTCTTCTTCTTCTTCTTTTTCTGCTTCGTCTCCTTCCTTTTCCTTTTCTGCTTCGTCTCCTCCTTCTCCTTTTAACCCTCCCCTATGCTTATTTTCTGCTGTCGGCTCTCCTGGTTTAGACCTATGCTCCAGTGAGGGGTAAAGGGCAAAAGAAAATAACAGTTGACATATCTTATAAACCCAGACAGGATAGAAAGAATAAAACAATTTTCTCCTGGCAGAGAACAGGAAATAAATCTTTCAGTTACACTTGCAGCACAATGTACACAATTTCCCGTGTGTGTTCCGGGGCTCCTATTGCGGAGAAAACTAGAATAGACCCACTTCCTCTTCAACAAGCATGTCGTAGGAGTACTAATTGGGAGCGCTTTTTAAAAATCGGAGTGCATCTGCCTTAGAGGCAATTAACCAACAGTCTATATACAAACGAGTCAGATCTACAAACGGATGTGCACGGAACACTGAGTTTATGGAACAGGACTGAAATCCAGAAGTGACGAACAGACAAACAGCCAGAACTTTTCGCTAGAGTTTACAGCCAGTCGATAGAAAGAACAAAATGTGCACAAGTATCAGTTACCTGTCTTCAATCTGAAGCATCAATACGAAACCATGAAATCAGACGAATGCTAGGAATAAAGCCAGTCTTACAGGTCATCAAAGAACAACAAATGAAGTGGTTTGGATACCTAACAAGAATGCCCTGGTACTTTCTGCCACAGCGAGCCACACTAAAACGTTACAACGGGTATAGAGCGAGTGGAAGACCTCGGAAAATATGGAGTGATGGCATTAAGAACAGCCTTACAGAAATGAACATCAGTCTTAATAGTGCTCTTGACAGAGCTCATCAACGAACATTACATCTCCCCCCGACACTTCGATGAGGCACAAGGTGGAAGAGAAGAAGAAGAAGCAGAAGTCTCTAGCATCGGAACAAATGTGTCAGTTCTGAGAGGTCCAGCCTGAGGTTGACCCCATCACCCACCCAGGGTGGTCCATACAAATATGAGTTTAGTCTCTTATGCCCAATGTGCCTCTGGCGCTCAAAAGAACCTTTACCTTTACCGAAGGGCCCTCACAGACACACAGCGATACCTCGGTATACGTCCGGCCTGGTTCCTAGGGGACCTCACAGACACACAGCGATACCTCGGTATACGTCCGACCTGGTTCCTAGGGGACCTCACAGGCACACAGCGATACCTCGGTATACGTCCGGCCTGGTTCCTAGGGGACCTCACAGGCACACAGCGATACCTCGGTATACGTCCGGCCTGGTTCCGAAGGCCCCTCACACACAGCGATACCTCAGTATACGTCCGACCTGGTTCCGAAGGGCCCTCACAGACACACAGTGATACCTCGGTACACGTCCGTCTTGGTTCCGAAGGGCCCTCACATACAGAGATGCCTCGGTATACGTCCCGCCTGGTTCCGAAGGGCCCTCACAGACACACAGCGATACCTCGGTATACGTCCGGCCTCGCTCTGACTTTGTTAAAAAAAATAGCACGACCACGTTCAACCAGCTGTTAGCTAGCCGAAGCCGCCAACAGTCTCCGGTTATATTTGTGGTCTTCCGTCCTGGTAATCGTCAAGCTTGGTATACGTTCATTGTAGACGTGAACATTTTTACTTCTCATACGCCCTTTTATTTGGAATACGACCACCGTGACTAGATCTTGTATGTCTGAAAATGAGTCATGACACGCTTGTTTACTTTTCTCATTAATCGATCAAATGTTTGCCGAATAGATGGATGTCAAAAACTGTAGAGAGAAATACAACCCTAGCGAAGTAAAAACATAATAGCATTGTCTGGAACGACCAGACAATATCACATTTCCGAAACATCCCCAGGAGAATGCACAAGCAAAGTTTGGTGGTGGATTTTTTTTTTTAAATTAGGAAAAGTACGAAAAAGGGACAGTTAGAAAAAACAAAAAACACACAAACACATGCACACACGCACGCACACGCGCGCACACATACAAGAATCTCATATTCCTGAAGTTGTTTGGGAAGGGGATGTTACTTGTAAAACAATAACAGCCCTCTCCTCCCTTCTCAACACAATCCTTGTACGTACAGTAAAAATAAAGTAATGTAAACTAGAGTAATGTAATGTAAAGTAAAATAAAGTAAAGTAAAGGCCCATGTCTTGAGAAAGATCAGACATATGATGCTAACCCTACAGTTGTATAGACCCGTCGGCACTCTTCCGAATAGCGGGCGTAAATTATGAAGGTTAAACATAGTGTGTGTAGCCATCCGTTGCAACCACTGCAGTGTATTGTTCATTACGGTGTACAAGTCGGCAGGTCTGACATCTACAGTATTGGTAGAACAGTATTGACTATTTACGTCGGAGCTGATGGCCCGCCTGCCATTCTAATATTTCTGAACGACACTGACTTCGCCGGAAAATAAATCCTACTTTTATATATCATTGAGGCCCTGTTAGGGTGTGTTTTCAACCTTTATAATTTACGCCTGTCATTCGAAAGAGTGTCGACCAGTCTGCCATAGATGGGCAGGAAGATGAACGTAACTGCGATCGCTTATAGCATGTCTGGTACACACGTTACGAGGAGTCGACTTGGCAGACAAGGTCAAGTCTAAATACTCCGTCTGGATGCGAATTCGAACTCACTGTCCATAGGACAGCAAGAGTGTTAGCCACTGTTTTATCGTTTCTCCGGCCAAATAAAAGATTTAATAAAACTAGTTATTTGCCTAGGCTTCTGCCCGCAGCACCACAGTGGCGTCGTAGCACCACACTGGTTCCCGCAGCACCACACTATCTCTCGCAGCACCACAGTGGCGTCGCAGCACCACACTGGTTCCCGCAGCACCACACTATCTCTCGCAGCACCACACTGTCGTTCGCAGCACTACACGGGTGCCCGCAGCGACACACCCACGTCCGCAGCACCACACTGGTTCCCGCAGCACCACACTATCTCTCGCAGCACCACAGTGGCGTCGCAGCACCACACTGGTTCCCGCAGCACCACACTATCTCTCGCAGCACCACACTGTCGTTCGCAGCACTACACGGGTGCCCGCAGCGACACACCCACGTCCGCAGCACCACACTGGTTCCCGCAGCACCACACTATCTCTCGCAGCACCACACTGCCGTTCGTAGCACTACACGGATGCCCGCAGCGACACACCCACGTCCGCAGCACCACACTGCTGCCGTCCGCAGCATCATAATTCCGTCCGCAGCACCACAATGCCGTCTGCAGCACCACACCGTTAGGACAGACACAAGAGCCAAGTGGTTTGATCGTAGTCCGAAGAACCGGCATTGTTCGCACCAGCAGCTGCCACTATCGATCCCAAAAAGCCATTTCCGTTAATGATCCATTATATGTGGGTTCATGCAGGATTGGATCTGGGATAAGGAGAACACGCTAGCCGGAAGCGGAGCATAACAACTGAATCGGTCTGGTAGGAGATACACATTGTTGTAGGGAGAAAGGGACGCGGAGAGATAGGAACATAGAGAAAAAGACACACGGAGAGACAAGAACATAGAGAGAAAGAGACAAGGAGAGATAGGAGCATAGAAAGAAAGAGACACGGAGAGATAGAAACATAGAGAAAAAAAGACACGGAAAGATAGGAGCATAAAGAGAAAGAGACACGGAGAGATAGGAGCATAGAGAGAAAGAGACAAGGAGAGATAGGAACATAGAGAGAAAGAAACACGGAGAGATAGGAGCATAGAGAGAAAGGGACGCGGAGAGATAGGAACGTAGAGAGAAAGAGACAAGGAGAGATAGGAGCATTGAAAGAAAGAGACACGGAGAGACAGGATTATATATAGAACTGGTGACACAAAAGAGATAATAACAAAGAGACACAGAGACAGGGAGAGATAGGAACTTGGAGAGAAGAGAACAAGAAGGGACAGGAACACACAGAGTTGGTGACACAAGAGAGACAGGAATGTAGAGAGAAAGAAACACTGAGAGATATGAACATAGAGAGAAGGGGATACGGAGAGATACGGACATAGAGAGTTGGGGAAGCGGAGAGATAGGAAAAAAAGAGAGAAACGGACAAGAATAAATAGGATCATAGAGAGAAAGGAACATAGAGAGATAAGGAACAGAGAGAGAAAGGGATACGGAGAGAAACGGACATTGACAGATAGGCACACAGATAGTTGTGGACACAAGAGAGATAAGAACATAGAGTGAAAAGGACGCTAAGAGACAGGAATATAAAGACACTAGAACAGAAAAATCGAGACACTTGGGAGAGAGAGAGAGAGAGAGAGAGAGAGAGAGAGAGAGAGAGACAGACAGAGAGAGAGAGAGAGAGAGAGAGAGAGAGAGAGAGAGAGAGAGAGAGAGAGAGAGAGAGAGAGAGGGAGAAACAATTATTTTATATTACATTATATAATTTATTGTCACTAATACTTTTATTTATATTTTCATTTCTTTATTTTTTCCCCATCAATTACAGATCGCCATTTTCTCTTCCTATATTTCACAGTTTCTCATGTGATCCCCAGGAGGGAGTACTTTTCCCTTTGTTGTTGTTGTGTAGTTCATATCGAGAGATGCTCTGATGTAGACGTCGATTTGTCTGTTACATGCACGCTGTTCACCTTCCCTCTTTTGTTAGGCTTTTTAGTCACAGTTCATTGGAAATTAATTGAGTGAAAGAGAGAAAGAAAGAGAAAGAGAGTCAGAGAGAGAGAGAGAGAGAGTCGAAGGAGAAAACGGACATAAAAAATATAGAGATACAAGCTCACAGAGAGTTAAAAAGACAGAGAGACAGGAACGCAGAGAGATAGGAATCTGG